GCCGGCGGGCAGCCTCCGGCCTCCCCACGGGCCCGCGCCGCCCTCCCCTCGCGTCCTGGGGGAGGCACCTGCCAGCGCCTTCCCTGCCCGGGGCGCACCGAGACCCGAGACCCGCTCGCCGCCCTCCCTCCCTCTGGGATATTGAGAGTTTAAATTTGATCCAAGTTCGTGCTGAATCCGGCCAGTCGCTCTAAAAACCTAGTTTACAGGGGGTGAAAAATCTCAGTCTTGTCAGCAAAAAAATCTGTTGTGGTTTTTTTTTTTTTTTTTATCCTAAAGAACCTTACAGTCACGTCACGTTCTTTCTTTCAAAGGCTTTTAAAAATTGTTAGGAGTGTTCCTTTACATTGACTTCTGGAAAAAAACAGCAGCCCAGCTCCTCAGCAAAAAAAAATGTGTTGTTTTTCTTTTTTTTTTAATCCAAAGAACCTTACAGTCACATCAAATTATTTATTTCAAAGGCTTTTTAAAATTGTTAGGAGCATTCCTTTAAACTGACTTCTGGAAAAAACCAGGAGCCCAGCTGCGTCTTGCCTGACATCAGCCACGTAAACGGGATGCTGCAGTCAGGAGTCCGCTCTCGCCTCATCCTTCCCCAGCTCCCTCTGCAGTCAAGGGACAGTGAGAAAAAGCAGGTTTGCTTGTTTTCCCAGTCATGCTTCCAAAGGAATTTACTGAGTTTAATTTTAAAAAATGTTAAGAATACCAAGCAAACTCCAGGAAGCTGAATCCTGTTCCTTTTAGGATTTTCTTCCCCGACTGAACTGTGTTTTGTTTTGTTTGGCTGACTTGGGCTGGTTCTGAATGAAGTTTACTTTCAGGCTTTTGGTTCAGCTACCAAATCAGAAAAAAAACGATTATTTACAGAGCTCTACTTAGAAAATCATTCCACAGCCTAAAAGAACCCCTTATAATTGAAATTATATACATAAATACATATTTGTGGTATTTTCACTGAGAAATTATATTCTTGGGTAAGAATACACATATTTCAGGAAACCACATAAACCTGGAAATGAAGACTATTTCATATAAATAGGGAAAAGGTTTTGACTGTAAAAAATGTAAAGGCACACAGGCTTATAATGAGTATGTAAAAATGAGTGTATTTTGCAGTTGCACTTGAATCATCACCCAAACATCTATATACCGACTGAAACAAAAGCAAATCAAAGGGGTTTTGAAAAATTTGGCAGTACTTTGTAATACTGATTGCACTAGAAATTGTGAATGAACGATCTTTGCCCTTTCTATATTACTCGGTGTCTCCATGTTTTACGCCAGTGCTGAAAGCTTTCACCAAATCTCTACCAAAAAAAAAAGGCTATTTATTAATTCTTACTACAGCTAGGCACAATCAGCAACAAGTGAAAGGACTGTGTTCACATCTTTGACACCATCCGCGTGCTGTCGAGCAGGTTCTGGTGGGCCGGCCAGGAGCCGGCAGGCTCTGGAAGGCCTCTTAGGAGTCTGCCTGCTGCGAAGAGGCTCAGGCTGGGCTCCACACTCTCTCTCCCACAATATTTTGTCATTTTTAAGTTAAGTTCTCTTGAGCTCTTTATATAATTGAACTGACTTCTGTCTCCATGGGATTGTCTGTAGACAAGACATACTTTTTTTTTCCCCCTTTAAACCATTCCATAGGGGAAAAACAGAAGATAAACCTTCTGGCACAGTAAGAAAATGTTCGTTTCCAAAGAATACTCCAATAGATTCTGCACTGGGGCTTCCCCTAAATTCATCTGTGTTGTTAAAGCGTCTAGAGCATTCATATGGAGGAAGCTGACCCCAGCTGCATTGGAATGGAGTGGGAACGTAGCTGGTGGCCACTTGAGACAAGTTCACACAAGAGTGCGAGGCAGCCCTGGAGATCACTCGATCCCCAAAACAATCTGATGGCTCTTCTAGGAGACATCAAAAAGGAAGAATAGAGCAGCCTGATGAGGAGAAGACAGAAGGGCTATGTGAACACATAAGGGTCACAAGCACTTGGGAAGATAAACAGATGGTCACAGAGAAACCAGAATGTAAACACACCCAGATCTCTGTGAACTCTGCATCCCAGGCAAATCACCGAAAACCCACGCAGCCTGGACAGTTCCTCCTTACGCAGGCTCCGCAGCGCGTTCGTCACCGTACTCGTTCCATCGGCACGCGCTTGCTGCGGCACCCAGGTGGGTATCCCGGCAGCCAGCGACAGAATGCTGAGGAGGTATCACTGAACACTAGGTCTGCACTGATACGCTTCCCCTGGCATGCACCACTGCCTCCAAACGCTGAAGATGGACAGGCAGCTGGCACAGGTGAGCCAGCTTCGGTTTTAGCTGTTCTCATGCTCTTAGGCACACAACACTTTCTAAAGGGTTTAAAATTTAAATCTTATGATCTAAGAGAGCATCACAACCTAAGCAGGCAGCATGTGGCCGACCATGAGAGAAAGGCTGTGCCGTAAGATGCAGGCACAGATCTGCTGTGAGCATCTGTTTCTGTTTTATCTTTGGAAACTTTGAAGCTTGAACAAATCAAGGCACACAAGCCACAGTTCTACCTGCCCAAGGCCTCAGAGGGAGTGGTTGTTATGAATCAGAGACTGTAGTCTTGTCTGAGGCAAGGGATGCTTGGTAAGAGTATCACTGTAACGTAAGTCAGGGACTGTAGTACAGCTGCCAGACTGGCCACTCAAAACTCTTGGCAGTTATAGACTGCATCAATAAGCTTTGTACTTTCTTTAAGAGAAGAGAAAAATAGATTTCTCAAAATGTGCTAATAAATTCCTGCTCATTATTTCAATCATAATCAGCTTTTAGATAAAAAGTCAGTAAAACCCAGAGAGAGTGAGTAACAGCAGAAGAGCATGCTTGAGCCCACTTGCCCCGCACAAATGTACACCAGCTGGAAAACTGTCACACTGAATTTCAATGAAACTGAGGGTACAAGCAGAAAGAATGTATATATATGTGGTCACGGTTCAGCTGAGTGACAGGAACTTGCTGTAAGTCTGCCTCCCTAGACTTACTAATACATTAATTACTTTTAAAAATGGCATTAAAGCTCGTAAATTGTTTAAGGCAGCTTTGAAAAATATTTGCAATGTTGAGTGAATCCAGTGCCAGGAAACATCAGCCAGATCTCAATGCATGCGGTCTCTTAGAAATTAAAGCCATAAATCATCATCATAATAAGCCTTTGCTTGGAGTGATTTGTTCAGGGTGTATGAGAAGGTAATCTGTAATCTGGTACTGAAGTCAAAACAATAAATTCTCTTCGCAGAATTTTTGCACCTGTCTCAGACAGTCAGCTGTTTTGAAACCCGATTTCTATAAATCAAATTTGATTTCTAACTGCACCAGCCACTTTGAAAGCAATGTGAAGCCAACAAGCTTTTGACAGTTCAGCAGATGAGAGATCATCTGGCAGCACAATAGCTGACTATAAGAATTAATTACCCATTGAAAGAGATCTGGATCAGAGAGGAAATTAAGGCAAAAGATCATTTCTGCACCACTTCTGAAAGAAAAAGCCACCTCATTTCTGTCATAGAGTGGAAGGGGAGCTCATCTTCACAGACCTTGTCCCCCTCACAGCAGTGGTAAACTTCTCTGGGTTCTTTCTAGTTGGTGCCTGTGCTTTCAAATTGGAACAGGGTCAAACATCTCCAAACCCTCAAGGGATCTTTGAAACCATTACGTTCACAAAGGCCAAGTTAAAACCCTGTTCTGAACATTTCCAGCTTTGTGTGTTTAGAAATCCAAATCTAGAATTTGTATTTTTTAATCTGGCATGGGTGATGCTTAATGTAAGAGTATTTGATTTTGGAAAACCCATATTGATGATTTCTAGAAATGCGTGGCTATGAAAAAACAACTGGTAGGTGACAAATATATTTGGATTAAGTAAGAGCTGGTTAATCACTCATAAGTCTTCCTAATATATTTCAGATACTTGCTTTGGACTTTTTTTCCTTTTGCTTCTTTGTGCAGGTACTTCTCTTCCTCTGTGCAATGAAAACATTACAGTCATCCTCTTTCTTATCTCTGCTCTCACGTACAGACAATCCCGGATCATTTTATTTCTCTGTGGAGCAACAAATCTGTTCTGCATCACTTGGATATCTCATCTTCGCGGCTGGTTTTTCAGAACTGATATTCCATCATAAATGCATCAATTCACAAGGGATGGTTTTGAGGGTGGTTCTCACTGGACCAAGTAGTGATGTCTATCAGCGATTTGAATTATGCTTTCCTGTTTATCATATCCAAGACAGGCATCCTCTCTTACAGCGAACACTCTCTGTAGTCCTCTCCTAGTGTATGTGTATTCAGTCTTCAATAGAAGCAGTAAAGGGTTTTGTTTGCCGGCAACTTCCACAGCTCAGAGTTCTCATTCAGCCTTGTAATAAGACTTCCAGGTCTCAGAGGAGTAAGATCTGGCATACTCTTCTAATATGAGGGGTGGTAACAACCAATCTAATGGATTTAAATTAAACTTACTCTCTTGAGGAACAGGATAACGATAGCAGAACTTGATTCAATGGCTAAGCCTACTTGATAAATAAAACGGGACCGCAGCAGAGGCTTGGCTGGCTCAGTCATCCATGCTGTTTGTTTGCTAGCACGCTGCCTGGCCTGTGCCAACTCTCCCAGGCAAGGACTGGACATGTTCTGGGGATATCGCAGCCCAGGGGCTGTCTCCAGTAGACAGTATGGAAAAGATCATCCTGTTTTGGGAGGATGTGACTATACAATGGCACTTGCCGTTGGACAAAGCAAGCCTCTTGGTCTGTTTTATTTAGCTGTTAGGGGTAGCCAGTGACTCAAACAGATCCTCCGGTCCTGCCCAGCTTGGTTCTAGGAAGCAGTATGCCTCTGACCATGCTCTCAGTGTATCAGTCTTGAAGGCTATGCAGCCCCATTCCTTCTAGTTAAAATACCCCCGTTTAGCATCCTCTTGGACTCTGCTCCTGGTTACCGAACCCCCACTTGTCTTATCTCAAGGAGTCAGCACGAGAAGATACATGCAGTGCTAACAAGCAGCTTATTCAAAATAAATAGCTATTTACTTACAGTTCACCTACCTCTGGAAATACAGAAATGGGAAAGAAAATAACGTATTGCCTGGACTAAGTATAGTACTTCTTTCAACACTGTGTAGACCCCAGCTACTTAGGATACCTTTCTCTTGTCTGTGGACTGGGTTGTAGCCTGCCTTCCTACAGACCCTTCCTCTCTCATCTGCTCCTTGGCAAGTGTTTCCAGTTTCTTAGGAACTCCCTACAAGGATGCTGCCGTCCCTGACCTGTCAGCCTCTGCTAAGCAGAGCAGAAACTTTGAACAATTACCACATACCGCTTTTCAGCTGCCACAGATTGTCCCTACACAATTGTCAGACTAGCCTGGAGTCTGTGGCAACACCCAGGACTCAAAAGTCACCTTTCTGCCCCTCTGCAGCAGACTACACAAAGGTAACAAAACAAGTAGAACAATTAATATCTACAGAAAATAAGACAGGTCCCTTCTGTGTTACTCAGGTCCTCTCAGACTTCCTGTACTTGTGCCACTGGCTACAAAGGGCTGGGACCCTCCCATACTATACACATACTCGGGTATTAGCAGACAGCCCACCTCCTCAACGCTAGCCAGTGTGTAGACTCAGCACTCATGCTCTGCCTCTGTAGACTGGCTTTCTAATTCTTATCTCTGAAAGACCTGGTATTTGTTCATTGCAGAATGTTTCTCGTTGTGTAGCAGAAAACTCTCATTATTGTCCCAAGCTCTGAAGTAGAATAACAAGGCATTCTTGGTGGAGATTGAAGACTGGGGTTCACTTCTGCCTGTGCTGTGTTAGAACTGGGACTCCATCAGCTTGCAGTGCAAATGCCACCCGCATTTGCTAAACAACTTTCACTCTGGTGACAACTGTACGTTAAATACGTGGCCTTATTTAGAAATCTCAGTGGCATTTACGTAGTTCCAGTTCACAGCATTTACTGGACGTCAGTTGTGCTTCATGACAGCTTTATTACCCTACCTGTGGAAAACCTTAGCCTCTCAGACACCGAATACAGCTCATTGTACTCTGTGAGACAGAACCCTGTTTTTTACTGGATTAGAAGTAACTGTGGTGGAACCAAGTTTCCAATACAATATTTCTAATGCAGCTTGGGACTTAATTTGGTTCCTATTTTTGATGCCTAAAACAGTGCAGGGATGAAATGAATATGAATTGTTCATTTTAAACTATGTGCTGTAGTCAAGTAATTATTAAGGAGAACACTTGAGATATAGAAAATTCTTTTCTGTACGGTTCTCAGCTATCCAGGAAAGAAAAAAGGTCTGAAATCCTTGCTTCATTTAAGTCACATTGCCTACAGCAAGGCCAGAATTTTACCTAAAGAATGAAAACAAAGTAAGAAACAAAATACGATGGGAGAGTAGTGTTTTGCAAAGGAGTCACGTAGCATGCATTTGCCCAAAGATGAACTCTGCAGACTCATGACCCAAACATGAAATAGGAAAAGCATTCATTTTCCAATTGGTTACCACACTTCTGAAATGATGGAATTTTCCATCATTTCATAACCTGCAGTGCTGTGATTTCTCCTTTTGATTAGGAATTGCAGCCAACTGATAATAGAAAGAAATCTGCCAGACCATATGGTGGAAAATTCCAAGGAATATTAGTACATCTAGTCTGAAAAATACCCCAGCGATGTAGATTTGACAAGAGAATGTTTATTTTATAAAAGAGGTTCACTAATACCATTAGCAAGATTAAGAATCCTTTAGAACTGCAGATGCTGCGTAGTGTGACAGGTAAGTGGGTGGTAATGCAGGCAATTCAGCATGTTACAGGGCCATTGGTAAAGAGCAAGATTATTAAGAAATAATTAATCCAAAGCATAATTGGGCTAGTGACTGGCTAGCACTACCTCACGAGAACTTACTCAGCTGTCTTTCCTGATGCATGGTGTGTTCCACTTTACAGACCACATGTTCCTCTCAGCACAGACACCGGTCCCTACAACCTAGGGTTCCTGGCTGTTACCTGCCTGGCCAGCTAACAACCTATCTTTTGCACACTTAGGATGGTGGCATATGAACAGCAGGGAACAACTGATAGCAGTAGAGAAGGTCCACAAAAAAGGCTTTCAATCTTCTTTCAGTCTGTGTCTACACCTCCATCACCTCACTGTTCCTTCAACTTGTTCATAATGGACTTTGTCGTAGAGCATTTAGTGAATTTCTTCACTAATCTCTTCTTGGAAGGCTTCTATCGGTGCCCTTTTCCTCCCTCTTCATATCCCAGCCTTGAATACTCCTTGCTACTTCCTTCTT